TAGAGTATGTTATACGAAAATTCTATTCTTGTTTACCATTAAAAGTGTGTTTGGTGTTTTGTAATTTTAATTGTAAAATACTGTTAGATGAAAAGACTAGCATTTATTATTAGAGGATTCTTTATCATTCAATAGTTCATATTTATAGTTTAAATTACAAAATATTGTTTTACTCTATTTACAATATGATTTTAAGAGAGATGAAAGGTCTAGCACGAAAGCGAGCAACAATGAGGGAGAGAGCCAGTGAGAGAGATCAACAATGAGAGAGTGAAACAAGGACACATGGAAGAGGTTTGCACAAAATTCATAATAGTTCAACAACTATGATAGGTATCAAAAGTTTCAACTAGATTAGAGAGTGGACAAAGGAGCCTACAACCAAGCAGTTCCCTTTTTCTTCTCTAACTCTCCTGATGGATGGAGACAAGATCAAATGTGGAAGACTTTTAAAAGATATGACAGAGTCCCAGAGATCTATGGCCTAAACAAGAAAGACAAGTATGGGAGACAGTTTGGGTTTGTGAGATTTCAGAATGTTAAGAATGTGAAGGAATTGGAAAGGGCACTTGATGAGATTACTATTGATGGAACCAAACTGCATGTGAACCACCCGAGATTTGATAGAATGTCAAAAAGATTGAGACTAGGAAATAAAGATGAAAAAGAGGATGTAGAGTGGAAAGGTGCAAAAGAGAAGCCAAAAGCAAGGCCTTTATATGGCAATGGCTACAAAACCTATGCAAATGTCCTAAGAGGATATCCCATAAAGAACAACCTAGCACAACCAACAAGGAGGTGAATGCCAAAAAGGGGGTATGGACTTGGAGAGGAAAATCACAAAACAATTAGTGTAAGGTTGGGACTTCAAAGTTGAGGAACTTGACTATTAATGGTTAAAAGGAAGCTATGTTGGGATTGTAAGGCGAGTGGATCTCATCCCAACAATGCAAGACAAGTTCTTCATGGAAGGTTATTTTGCTATTTCAATTAAACTTATGGGAGGGAAGTTGGTTATGTTGCAAAGTAAAAACCATGAGGAATTACAATATCTAGTGAAAAATGCAAGTGATTGGCTAGATCAATGGTTTAAGGACATTAAACCTTGGTCTCCAACGATGGTTGCCAGAGAGCATTTTGCATGGATTAAATGTTTCAATGTTCCATTGCATGCATGGGGTCCTAAATTTTTTCATGATCTAAGTATGGTGTGGGGCAAGTTTATCTCCCTAGGTAATAGCACAAGTAAAAAACTGAGGTTTGATGTGGCTAGATTCTTGATCACAACATCATGCACTAAAGTTATTTCAAAGATGATGACAATTAGAATCAACGATGAACTATTCAACATTAAATGTGTGAAAGAAGAAGCCACAAACAACCTCTTTTCCATGAAATTAGATTTCAATTTCCACATCCCAATTGATAGCGAAGAGAATAAAAGCTAGTCTCTTGATTTTGAGGACTCAAGATCAGGTCATTGGGATTGGAGCAAGTTTGCAATACTATCAGATGATGTTGAGGTTAAAGACGAGGACGTGGCCAATGAGGATGAGGCTACTATTGACATGGCAATTAAGGATGAGGTGGCAGAAAAAACAACATGGAAGTGGAGGGGTTGCTAGTATAGGACATTATTGTTGGGAGTATTGAAGAAAGCAAAGGGAATAGTCTTAGCAGTGGTGTGATGGCGTGTGTTGATAGTAATAATGAATCCATATCAAAAGAATTAAAAAAAAAAAAAAAAAAAAAAAAAAAAAAACCCCGGGCAGCACCTAACAATTTGTACTACAGATAATGAACACTAGATAGGTATTAAAGACCTAGCTTTAATAGAACATAATAGAAGTGGGTCAGATGTAGGCCTTATTAATCTAGGCTCATTTCTCAAATTGAAGAAAAGAAAGAGGATACAACTCAAGAAATATCAGGAAGGGGTGAGAAATAACAAGTTGAGGTTTCAAAGGGAAACCATGAGCACTCAACTGGTGAGAGATGATGTTGTTGCTGCCATAGAAAGCTTTTGTCCAGACTCTCTTTGGCAAGGTTTTGATAGCAATTATGGGATCTTATAAGAGTGGACGTAGATAAGAAAGAGGAAGAGATCTAAAAAGAAGAAGAAGATGGCGAAATCCTATGCAGCAATCTACAAAGAAACAAAATCAATTTAACCAAAAGGAATGAAAAACGCTAGAAGCAAAACAAAGGGGCAAGGGAGTTCAAATCAATTAGAGCTGAAATTCATCCCAAACTCAAAGAATTAGCTTGTTGATGAATCTTTAAATGGTAACGGTATCAACAATTGTAACAAGATCATTCTTCTAAAAAGGAACACATGCAATGCTCGAGAGATTTAGGATTTGGCTAAACATATTGGTGCAATAATTGTGGGTAACAAGAAAGAAGTGATTAAGATGATTGAGTAAATGGAGGCAAGAGACAAACTGAATAACTTGGCAACTGAGAACAAGCGTGAAATGAGTCATGAAGTAGGGGAAGGTAAACCTCGATGATCATATTATCCTATCATGTCAGGGGTTTGGGAAGGGAATGGACAAGAAGAGAGCTGAGAAAAACAGTTGCAAAAGAACAAGTTGACTCCTTAATGATTTAGGAAACAAAGTTGGAACAAATGGATAATAAAATCCGTAAGGAGATATGGGGAGTTGAAAATTTTGAATAGGTTTTTAGAGCTTTTGATGGTAGATTTGGTGGTCTTCTTAGCATTTGAGCAAAGGAGTCAATTTTGTTTTGTATCGGTTGGTATGATTAGTACGTATCAGTTTTTCAATAAAGTTGAAACGGTATATGTTTAAATTCCGTTTTGGTCAAATTTCGACCTTTTTTGTCAAATTTCAATATATCGACTGGTATTTTATGTATAGGTCGGTACACCAAAATTAAACTAGTATAGTTCAAATCTTTAAAAAAGAAAGCAACAAGGCAAATCAGCCCTTGTACTCAGTGAATGATGGCAAATTAACCCCTTAACTAAAAATAGACACAAATCAACTCCTCAACTCATTGTATGGTTGCATATCAACCCTTTTGTATGGTTTACATTAGGCACTTATCAATTCGTAACGGAAAGGTGCCTTTGGTGGGGTTGATTGCTTATATGACAATAAGGTGGTATTTTTTATCCTACTTCAATGTTGAGTTAGTACTAAATTAGTAATTTATATTAAGATTTTTTTAAAAGTGTATTTATTTAAATAATTTTATTATTAGTTTATGTAAAAAATTACAAAAATAAATTTTATGTTTAATATCAATATTACATAAAGTACTTTAATTAGATAGGTGATAGAATTAAAATAAATTTTTTATATAATAATTACAATATATGTCTTAAATATTATTACTTAAATTTATCAAATTTACAAAAATTACTTTAAAAAAAAAACTTATCACTGCTTAAAATGACCAAAACAATAATTACTACAATATAAAAAATACTATTATACTAGTAGCTTAGTGCCTTATATTCGCATAAGTTCTTGCTCTCAATTCTTTATTTAAAATAGATCTAAGGAGAAGAAATTACCACATACTTATAAGAAATTAGTGTAAATTTATAATCACTATCTACTTTAATTATTTACTCCTTCTATTTAATTTTAGTAGGTCTAATTTTTTTATCTAATAAAATAAAAATGTAATAATTAATTGGTAAGATTTAAGATCTATTTTTAGTTAATAATTATTTTAATAAACTTCTTATTTAATATATATAGTAATTATCTTTTTAAAATAAAGGTAAAGTACAAAAGAATGTATTACATGGCATTTTGAAATAATCAAGTAAATTTAAATGCCCTAAATTAAAAATTAAATATATTAAAATTTAATTAATATTTCATCTGTTACAAAATATCTATCTTTTTTATAAAAACATATATTATAGCGATAAATCTAAAATTGTACGCTTAAAATTTTGGTATTCGGTATATACTGTTGCAGTAACAAAACCAGTACGTATGTTGATACGATATTGACTACTTTGATTTGGGCTAAAGAAGTGTCTACAATGGAGAAATCTTTTGAAAGGGCAATTTTCCTATGTGTATTTGGTTTTCAAGGAGCTAATCGCTTTCCTTACTTCATTATTAATGTATGCTCTCCATGTGAAAGCAATGGAAAGAAGCATTTATGGGAGGAATTGCATATAATAATAAACAATAAAGGCCTATGGTGTGTAAAAGCGGACTTAAATGTGATCGGGTCTCAAAAGGAATGAAGAAACTGCAATGGAATAAGAACAAAAATGAGCAACTTTGATGAGTTTATCAACAATTCAAGCTTGGTTGATCTACAAATGATAGGGTGGTGTTATACTTGGTATCATCCAAATGGGTTTGTAATGAGCAAGCTTAACATCTTATTATCTAAAGAGTGGCTTTGTAGTGGCATGGAATGAGACAATAGGGATTGGACAAAAACTTTCCGATCATTGCCCAATATTATTAAAACAGAAGGTTAAAAATTGGGGTCCTAAACCTTTCAAGTTCTTTAACACTTGGTTGAGGCACCCCAAATTCATAGAGCTGGCCTCTTCTCTATGGAACTTTGTTAATTTACAAGGGTGGAATGGATTTGCTTTGAAAGGAAAACTCAAGATGATGAAGAAGTTCCTAAAAGCTTGGAGTAAAGAGAACTTTAGTGAAATTGATGGCAAGATAACGAAATACAAAACAGAGGTAAACGAGCTTGATTCAAAGGGGGAAAAAAGCATCATATCTGCTAAGGAAATTAGTACAAAAAGAAGAATGACTTCAATATTGTGGTAACTCTTGTAAACTAAATAGGACATGTTGAGACAAAACTCCAAGTTAAAGTATATCAAAAAGGGTGATACAAATACCAGTTTCTTGCACCAACAAAATAAAGGGAGATAGAGGCGCAATGAAATCAACTTGTTGATAATAAATGACTAGAGGTTGCAAGAGGCTGATGAGATGAAAATGGGAGCCTCTAGATATTTTGAGCAACTATTCAAATAGGAAGATTAGAAGAGACCAAGATTTGATGGAATCCTTTTCAACATAATTATTCCAAAAGAAGACTCCATGTTAATTACAAACTTCTCAAAGGACAAAATCAGAAATATTGTTTGGGACTGTGATAGCTCAAAAGCCCCAAGACCGAATGCTTTCAACTTTGGTTTCTTGAAAGAAATGTGGGAACTAGTCAAGAAGGATATATGTGGTTTTATTGCTAATTTCCACAAACATGGTAGATTAGTTAAGGGGTGAAATCCCTCCTTCATTATTTTAATCCCTAACAAAGAGAACTTGATCAAAATTGAAGATTTCAAGCCCATATCCTTAATTGGTTGCATGTATAAAGTGATTACTAAATTACTTGCTAATAGATTGAGGTAGGTGATGAAAGGAATAATCAGTGATTGCCAATCAACTTTTGTGAAAGGCAAGCAACTAATAGACAATGTCATTGTAGCAAATGAAACTATTGAGGATGCTAAACACAAGAAGATAAGATGTTTTATCTTCAAAGCAAATTTTGAGAAAGCCTTCGACAAGGTTTCTTGGCATTTTTTAAACTATCTAATGGGAAGAATGGGATTCAATACAGTCTGGTGATGTTAAATTCATGGATGTTTATCTTTTAGCACGGCTTCAGTGTTGATTAATGGCAGTGCTTCAAAGAAATTTTGAGTTAAGAAGGGATTAAGGGAAGGGGATCCTTTCTCCCCTTATAGTTTCCTCATTGTAGAGAAGGCTAAATGGTATAATAAACTCAGCAATTGAGAAAAACCTATTTCAAGGTGTTCTGGTAGACAATGGCAACCTACAAATCTCTCATTTGCAATTCATGGGTGACACAATAATATTTAGAGTCTCTTCTAAGTAGAATGTTAAAGTTGTTAAATGTATAGCATCAGGTCTGAAGATCAATTACCAAAAGAGTCAGCTCCTGGGGCTCAATGTTGTTGAGGAGGATATGCAACAAATGGCTTACCTTCTTCACTGTAGAATTGGAGAACTACCTGTACAATATCTTGGAATGCCAATTGGTGCTTCCTTGAGGAAAAAGGAAACTTGAAGGTTATTGATTGACAAGTTTCAAAGGAGATTATCCCATTAGCATAACAGACACCTATCCATTATTGAGAGAGTTGTCCTAATTAATTTTGTGCTTTCTAGGCTTTTAGTGTTCCTTATGTCTATTTTCTTGATTCCAAAATGAGTGATAAAAAAGATTAACACTATAAGAAGGGGCTTTATTAAGGGGACAGAGGAGAATAGGAAAGTTGCGTGGGTGAGTTGGGATAAAATCTATAGAAGTAAAAAGGAGGGTGGGTTAGGTATCAAAAACCTCAAACTATTCAATAGAGCATGAAAGGGTAAATGGTGGGGGATTAGTTAATGAAGGATTAAGGCTATGGAAGAGGGTTCTTGTAGAGAAATATAATAAGGAAAATGAGTGTTGGCTATAAAGAGTGGCTCACTATGCTGAAATAGGTACTGAGTGGTGGAGAGATATTAGGAAGATTAGCATCCCCTATGAGAATAAGGAGAACTGGTTAAGAACGAGTTTTAAATAGTTTTAGGAAGTGGCAAAAAAATACTGTTTTGGCAGGAGGTTTGGTTGGGAGATAAGAGATTGAAGGAGGTTTCTCCAAGATTGTTTTCTATTTCCACAGGTAAAAGAAGTAATGTGTATCAAATGGGAGAATGGCATGGAGACACATAGACATGGAA